GTATCGAAATCCCGAAAATATAGCCCATAAAAGATCGATATTCCAAGATGGAGTGACGCTAAGTGACGAGTGACGTGTTTGTGTGATGAATGATTTTTCTAATTTTCCAATCAATTCATAAAACAGCGAAGAATGACAGAGTGCAATCGTGACTTGGCACTTGGACGCCGTAGTACGCGTAAGTTCGATTCATATGCTGTTATCTGAAAAGGCTGGCTGCCCTACTTATTTATATTTATGTATATTTCAAACCTCGACCAGACGAAACGATTCGTCGTCTGCGTGACCGAGTTTCGAATTGAATTGAGCGCGTCATTTTTTTTTTTTTTTACTTTCTTTTTTCATTCCATCGTTCGCTACCTTTACGTATTTTAAGAAAAATCGTTTACGTCGCACATCGAATAAAGCTCTTCTATGCTTTACTATCTGAATTTCGAGTAGTGAATATTGATTAAATTGTACCGCGTGTCGAATACACTTAACCTTCGATTTTCAGGCTATATCGGCCGCGTAAGAGTTTCGTATAAATTGGAATCGTGTAATTCATAGAGAAAAAGGGAAGATGGATGTCAAGGTTCGTTTTCGTGTCTCAAGCTGACGATCGTCTATGTAACTTCCGTTACTAACTTCCTCAGTATGTACTAATATAACTGTACAAACTTTTACTGTTCATCGTGACGAAATAATTCTTTATATATATCTGAGGATAGACTGTTTAGGTCGAAAACATTTTTGCGCTATTTCCAACAGTTATTTATATTTTAAACAGTCTATAACTCTATACAAAGAGTTATTTCGTCATGATGTATAGTGAAGGCTTGTGTAGTTCCATATATATATATTTGTTTTCATATACTCGACGACTATTTAGAACAAAAAACCTATTATTTACTATTTTAATTTTTCGTTCGTTATTAACGAATATTAATTCATTTTTTGTTAATATAAATACTATGGTACGTCGTAGTACTCTGTGTGATTTTATGGTTGATCGCGAACGATCACCGATTTAAGTGCCAGCGTGAGTGCTTAATGGAAGTAAAAATTCGTTTATCGATCGTGTAAACGATAAAGTTTGCAGATAGGTCGTCGATACGGCGAAACCTTGCTTTGAAGTGTACGCTTGTTCTTATCTTCGTGTCCCTTTGCCGATAAAGCACGTGCTTGAACGAAACCTGGTATATATTTGGCAAGTGCAGGGATACTACACGTGCGTCACTAGTACCACTCTGATAAATCGAGTAACCGATTCTTTAACCACGCAACTCTCTGCAGCAGAAACAATCTTCCCCTTGGACAAGGCCAACCATAAGACAGCATTTTTCAACCGACACGGCATTTTAGCTGCGCATAATTGGAAAGTACCGAATTTTACGTTGTTTTACACAGTGTCGCCATTGCACTTTATTGGAAAGGACTTTCATGTACTGGCAGCTCATTTCGATTTCACATATTTTTCTACTTTCTTGTAGTTTTTTATGGGACTCCCAAATACGAGAAGCGCGTCAGTTATGGATCAAACGGATGTGTTTAAACGACGATGCAAATGAAATTGGTGACACGCTTCCCACTGGTCGTTTTCTCCGCCACCTGGCGAACGATAGGATGTATCCGTCCACGTGGATCGCCCACGCGCGTCAGGTGTTCGTCACCGCGGTCAATCGTTCCCTGAAGCCAGTATGCGAAGGATATTGGCCCGATCAACCGCGTCCGTGTCAGCGGTCAGTCCGTAGCAGGAAAGATGGGCAAAATTTCATTCGGAGAATACAAGTTATCCGTCGAATTAGCTCTATATATTTAATTCACGTTCAAATCTTTATAACCGATAGCGAGTCGCAATTCAGTTGCGACAGATGTAATTTTTGCCGAACAAGTAACGAATTAGAATGTCAGTTTCAAGATACAACGAACAACGATTAGTCCTGGAGTTTTGTTGCTCGTCATTCGACGTTATCAAATAGTACAGATTGAGAATTTTGCCCATTTCGGAGTACGCTAGTTTTCCACTCCGTTTCAGTCGCGAGAGGTTCGTGGCCCCGTGTAATTTCGACCGTTTATCCACGCGCTGGTCTCCTTCGACATCGCGGACCTCGAAGACCGTGTCTTCCCGTGCATGCACCGTGCTCACCTATCGATCTCTCGTATCCCTACGATGTCTTTTGTCCCGTGGATGCTAATAAATCGCTGTTCACCGACGGCCAATTCAGTGCGCGTTCGACCGTCGTCGCGGTTGATTTGAAACGCAGGTGCGCTCGGTGCGATCGCGCGTGGGTGGCATCTGACGTACCGTGAAACCTTCGACGAATCATAAAGTGCGTGAGATGGTTTCCGAAGAGGTGCGCGGTGACGAGACCCGAGCCAATGTTAGGCTGAACCTGCGACGAATAGTAATACTCGAATATGTAACAGTAGTCGAAGACAACTGTTAGCTATGTTAAGGATTCGACGTAAGTGTTCCTTTGCGAACGTAAACAAATTGAGAACACTTTGCACCGTGCGCGGTTTCTCTGCAGCAGTATATTTACTATTCTCAGGTTTAGATAGATCCGTTATCGCACTTATCGTTGACTTGTCATCCCAGTTATGTTTGAATGCATCCGAAGAGACGCGCGCATTCTTTTTACTATCAGCGTCTAGACTTTCGTCTGTATACCACGTCGACTGCTAGACTAGTACTTTTGAAGAATATGAAATATGAATTTAGTTACTTCTTCGGTGGAAAGCCCTATCACCCGTACAATACAAAAATTTAATGTCGAGGACATACTTTTAATTCTTAATGCCAACGAGTCAACGAATCAAAGAAAGTTTCAGAGGACAGTATTAACCGGTAAACGTTCGTTCGCATAGTTGGAAGTGGGTCATTTTGACCCGCCCCCGTTCCTTCGAGTTTTAATGAAACTAGAAGAATGACATTTACTCGGTTCCTCTTTGTGTGTAGAATATTCCACGTTTTCTGGCATTGACGCGACATATGCGCGCATATTTATAGCGAACTGATTCATCGTTTTTTTGGAGTTGTATTTCTAGCTAGCCACCAAATAATTGCATTCAGTTGACTCTCGCGGGCCGATCCTTTTCTTTCTAATCGCGGTCTCTCGTTCTGTCGCGGAATTAGGGATCGAATTGAAAGTCACGGAACGCTAAGTGCGGATAATTGTCCTTCGGAGTGGCCTGCTCGAAGCAGATTATCGGATTCGCTATCTGCGCGAAGGATGCAACGACTCGCCTTGACTCGAATTGTAATTCACCGCAGGAAACGGTGACTCGAAAACTTGGCCGCGTACGAGCAAATTTTGCTATAGTTACGGAACTAAATAGAGAAAAAAAAAATGAATCTATTAAAATAGCGAACGCGTGAAATAGATTTTGAAATCGGGATATTGTCGAACATGTTGTGTTAAATTCAGTAGAAATGATATGTCCCAAACGGTCCGTCAATAATTTTCATGTTAACCGTATGGAGTCTGTCACGTGGTAAATAATTGCCAGAAGATCATCCTCGCTGATAAGAGATTCTTTTTTCTGTTTATGCGAGACGATAGCAATTTTTGAAACATCGTTGCCTAACGCGAACGCAATCCAAAAACGACGCAACGCGACGCGAAAAATAAGTTTAGCGTAATGTGAAAAGAGCAACGCGTTATAAACTTTATCGCCATTTATCGTCCACTCGAGTGAGAAGTGGCATAATCGTTCGATAATTGCACAAATGTCCGATAATTGTGTAACGAATGGATTCTTTCTTCACGGTTCGTGAAGATATTCTAGTGAAAGTTCAAGCTTTGATCGATCAAAGTTGAATACCCGAGCATTCGGTCGCCATTCAAGGGTTACAGGTATATCGCTATCGATGTAATGAAATTCGATTCGAATATTTTAGTTAATAAAATAGCGATAAAATTCCAATTGCAATGGCGATCCACGCAAACCGCACAAGTTGAGCAATATTTACGTACGCGCAATGCCCCATTGATTTCCTCTCGAGTGTTTCCATTAATCCGTCGTAATCTGCTCGTTAAATATTAACGATAAAGTTGTCGCTAATTTTTGTCCATTAATTTTGATCGGATAAAGAGTATTAAAAGAAACTTTATCGAGCATTTTATTATTGTCGACGCGATCACGCTCCTAGAATTTGAACTCTACTAATCGTTAATCGTGTCTCCGATAAATTGCATAATTCGTTCCGGGTTTAGGGGTATCAAAATAAAAGAAGCTAGTTTGGACTCTCGATGGTCAGTCTGACCGAGCGAGCCTTCCCAAAAAGAATCGCGTTGTAAAATCAACAGTTTCGTTAGAAAAGTGAACGACTCGGATCTGAATTAATCGAAGGGAAACGCGTTTTGCGACAATTAAAATATCATTCTTAATTTAGCGCTAATTCCGATCGTAAAGATAATGATTATTACCGCGGCGAATTCGAGTCGTAGGTTCCTCGTCAATAACCCATTTATAGAGAGATAACATATTATTTTCTTTCTCGTACGTAATTAGTTGTCTCTCGATATAATCAGATAATTTACAACATCTGCTCGAACATATTTTCACTATACAATAGCAAACGTAAAGCAGCAAAAGAATACTATCACCGAGTTTAAGTATATCAACGATAAAGAAAGACAGGACGGACGGTCGCGAATCGTTATGAATTCTAGTTTGACCAAAGAATTCATTCGGAGGAACACTTGGTTAATGCCACGAAGAACGAAGAAACGAAACAGTCATTCGGTTTAATAGTTGTTCAAGCGTGAAGTGTTACTCAAGAGTGGAGTTACTCAAAAGCGTTTGATTCGTGGCTCGTGCCTCAGTGTACACCACGCAAACTGTAATAATACAGGTCGCCTTTTATTATCGCGGCTATCAGTTTCGCGCGATCATGCGACACGCCAAGCATTCGCTTAAAATTTCGTGAGCGACTAAGAAAAATCCACTCGGCGGACGTTGGATCGATAGATCGGATACACCAGGAGGGAGATCGACCTTTCGGCGGAGAAAACCGAAGAATGTCTCATCTGCGATCCAAGAACAGATCGACGAGCGCCGACGAGAGCTCGAAACAAATCTCGAAGCACGGGGAGTACCGCAGGATTCAGTTCACGTTGTTGAAGGGACACCTTGAGCACCGTCTTCACGAGGTAACAAAACGTAACAAGGTGAAATATAGCTATCATAATGTATTTTAAACAAATAGGGAATTACGAGGTACAAAACTTTTATCGTCTTTTGAAAAGCCACCTCGAGTAAAGAAGGCAATATTTTCTCAAATTATGGACAAACGCGACGAGCAACTTACGAAAGTTTCGTCAGAAATAAACAAAGATGATAGCGGCTACAGTTAAAGGACGATTAATTGGTCCCAGAAGAAAGTAATACATTCATGAATGCGAGACAAAAAATACCACTTTATAGACCGTTTCAAGCTGCACGAAACATACTAATAAAGTGGTGTTTTTGTTTTCAATGTTACAATAAAGTATCACTGTGAAACGTAGTCGGAAATACCTTACCCTCCTCTAGAGGAGACTCGCCATGAGCTGAAACCTCGAAATCTAAATTACCATTTGTCTGTGTCGCTCTCCGTACCAAAGATCATCATCTACCCTATGGATAATTCTAGCAACACTTCGATTCACGCGATTCGGTTACGTACTTTGTCCTGACCGACTATTTACTGTACTACTATTTAGTATACCACGTAAGTGATTTGGATTCGGTCGGATTCGAGCCAGCTCCGAGGATGATTTACGACAACGCGTTAGGACTACACGTTTTTGATCAAAGAACCGTAGCAACGGCGAGCATCGGCGCATCGATCCTCGCCTCGATGCAATTTATGCTACCCGGCGCGTACTATTTTCGTTTACCTTCGACGGCGTGCCAATGCTCGACGAACACTGGGTGCCACGATGATTTATTTGTCTCCATTCTCGCGGAGAATCGCGGCGAGCTTCGCTGGCCAGTGCCAGAGGACTCGTCATCGTAACTAACACCCTAACCGAGGAAGGAGATCATGCCAGAAGGATTGCTAGACGAATCCCGATTCATCTCGAGCCACTTCACGCGAAGAAACGATGGGTTTACTTGCATGATCGATCGTAAGGTCGTGGCTCGCTATCTTTCACTTTTGGTGTTAAATTGGCCACTTTTGGTGTAGCAAAGAAGCCATAATTCTTAAGTGGAATTCGAACCTGTAGCCCCATAGGTTGTAGCTATGTTTACCATGTAGCTTACGGGCTTAGCGATCCCGAGGTATCCTAGCTATACGTTACAGTCACATACAGAATGCGATGCAAGAAGTTAAGGATTGATGTGAAACGATGGAACTGAGCACGCGTCCAAGACTGGTGATTTGTTACAGATAAACCTGGACCAATAGGTACAACATTACACGAATGTAACGAAACAACGGATTAAAACAGATTACGTACCCTTATAAAATAAAGAAACGAAACAAACACAAGTGGAATTTGAAATCTTATAATTTGACGCACAATTAGCTAATTTGCCGTGCTAAATTAATTGTTTCCGTTACGTTATCCTCAACGTGAATCGATGGTAGTGGTCGTTCTCGTCATCGCATAGCAAACACGATGCCAAAAATGCTTTTATGCGATGCTTATCACGGGCACTATTGGGGTGCCAGAACGACTGGTTTGGTCTAACACGATTTCAGTCAATCGCGTATTTTTACGCTTCTCGTTATCGTATAACGTTCCAACGATCGATAAGTTTATCGATCAGTTTGGTAACGAACTTTAATTAAATTTATTCCGCGTGTAGTTATTTTCGAATTGTCTTATTTCGATTTCGATGTATACAGAGCGTGCGACGTAATACCCTCCACGATCTTCGACCCTTTTACGTACAACAGTCTATGTATAGCGCTTCAACGCTAAACTTAACGACGTTTCATTTGCACCTACTTCTACTTTCTGCAATTTTTATTGCGAACATTCCCTCGACACAACACGAACGGGCAGTGTCTTATCGCGTCATTATCAGAAGTAGCGACCACAAAGCGATGATAATCGAGATACCATCCACTTTGCTTTGATTTTTCATATTGTTTTCCAGTAAGCGATTAGACGCGGTGAATGATGCCCTGCTTTCCATCGTCGTCGGTTAATTCACGGTAGAATGTGTCGAACTAATTTCCCCGAGGTAGATGGAGCGTTTATTTGTATCCGTGAAAACTTGGCGTATCATATTTTCTTATCAATAATAGTAAATATTCTCGCGGCATGTGGTGCGTCGTGTCTCAGTGATCAAAATTCTATCGCTTCCATTCCCGCAATCCTGCAATGTCGAGGTGGAAAGTTTGTCACCGTGCGAATCGTTAAATTTCCATTAGTCTTCGTTCCAACGCGACGCGGGTTAATACAGTGGCGTAAACACTTGTTACGATTCATTTTCGATTCAGCATCGTCGATAAGACGAAATCGATACTCCTCCGTGTGTATACGTGTACATATGTAAAAGAAGAGAGTTTGCTCCGTTGGAGGGGACGATTGTTCGATCCAGTTGAATGATTAATTCCGCAAACGGAAAGAGTATTAATTTGAGAAGTAAGAGGTGTCAAGGGGAAACCGTTATCTGCGATCAACAACTCGAAACGAAACACGTTCTGCACGAGTACACGGGATACGTAAACGATTGTTGGTGCTTTCATGCGACCTAACTGGAAACCATCGATCCAGGAAATGATATATATATTTTCTGTAGAATTTCTGCAATATTTTTCCGCGACGAGTTCCACACGCAACGTGGAATACTATTTCCGAGAAAACTGCGGAGAAACGATGATTCTCGACAATCGGGTTTTCCGTGGAAGGGAGTTCCATGCTCTATCGCGTATATTCCGTTTGTTTGATTTGTTCCTCGTCAACTTTCCGCGGACGCGAGGCTCCAAAATTAAATTCAATGTCGTTTTAATTGTATTCAATCTGGTCATAAACGTATTTTCGATCACGTTCTATTTCAATCCTTTCGAAACTGTCGAGATTTCGAATTAATCTCAAGTGTGCAAAGAAATAAACTGAAATTCTGGTTCTTTCAACGCTCGCGTTATTAGTCGCGAACTATTTATTTTTTCGTGAAAACAAAAAGACGTTGACACAAATCCTTTTGCACAGAATATTTATTAACGTTGTAGCGACTGTTCTTTAGTGTCATTGCTTCATGAATGTAAACACCCCGGATCGGTGAACGTTTGTTTCGATAAAAACGAGCTTGGGGGAGACAAGTGAAAACGTCAATGCTTATCGTATCGGGTCGAGTCTCTTCTAGTCAGTTCTTCGATACATCCAAATGTTTGCAGATAAACGACTGTTTGTACATGCAATGGGAAAAACACAGCGTCAGAAGCGACGGAGATTGTTCTGTCATGAATGCAGAAGAGACGCCTCGATCTCGCGAACGAATTTATTTTAATATCGTCGGAACAGGGCGAAACGTAAGCCTCCCAAGCGACGAATGCTTTTCGTTCTCGATTGAAACACGCGAATACATCCTTTTCGTTGGGAACGTTCCGATGTATTCCATTCGTGGCAAGTGTGACAAATAGCGTCGATGCGGTGAACGCTAAAGAGCAATAAATTACGAAAGTTGTGTAACACGCGACACGTGCGAATCGTCTCGCGAACGCGAGGAGGAAACATTGCGTTCGAAAATGTCCTATGAAGTAAATTACCAGCTTCCAACTGGATAAACGATACCAGCGGAGTGTCGTTAATTGGTACTCGCGTCGAGAAATATCGAGAGGTTCTAAGCGTTTCGCAAACCTCTTCTTTAAAACTACGCGCTATGGAATAGTTATCGAAAGGATAGTTTTAGAAAGGAATCATGGACGGAAGGAGAATTTTCACCGGGGGAGGATCCATGAAGTTTGTACGAAAAAGGATTGCGTGGAATGGAAGCAAACAGATTAGATTTATTACGACTTGGTACGAGGACGAGTGCAGTGAGTTCAGGTTAATATTCGAACACTTTGCAACTTTGTGATGGAAGATAAAGCAATTGAAGCTTTATTTCAGGTGTTTATTTACACAAAGAGGGTAACGCTTCGTACTTTGTCGTAGACAAAGTTAGCTACAGTGTCCGAATATTATGCCATTCGCTGTGTAGAACACACTGGACGTTGATTGTTTAAATATTCGTAGAATTGATTGGAAAATTCGATTCGTCGGGTAGATTGAAGTGGCGCGAGGTTCGCGGTGTTTGAAAGATGATTTTTGCCAACCTAGTGCCAACTAATACTGCTGGAATATGAGAGTGTTTCCTGACATCGACCTGGTTTCCATGGAATACGTGAATGAAAGGACTAGTTTAGTGGCTTTGGATCGAAGAAGTACCGCGTCCTTGTCATCCTTGATACCGCAAGGATTGGCTCGCAGTTACGGGTCCTTTACGTCCTGCCAACAGGCGATACAATCGTTGTGGAATAGAAGTAAACAGGTACGAGATTAATCGACGTACAAATTCGTACGCGAGGGACTGAAAATCGTAGCAGACTGATAAAAAAAAAAAAAAAAAAACAGTTACTCTTTGTGACGGTGTGACATTTATTTTTTCATTTTATTTTATTTAAGGTGGAACAGTGATTTTCAACCACTGTATAAATATTATACGTCTCTGTAGATATCCGTACGTTTCCTCCACAGCGATACCAGGAGTTGGAACGATAAAATTTACGTAACTCGTTAACGGCTGCATTGGGAGTATCTCGAGATTAGAAAAGTCCCCTACCGTTGAATGGGTTTTTTCCAGGCATTTTTAAGTAGACAATCGCGAACATGTAAGTCCACAGACTCGATTTAACTGTGTGCAATGTTTCGTTCGAACCGTTACAAATATCGCGAGGTTTGTGTTAAAAGTAAAACTATTAATTGTAGAGTCCCGATGGAACCTCCTGAATGAAAAGTACACGCTGTAGGAATTATTATTACGGAACGTTAGCGTCTGTCCGTCTATTTTATTGGAGAGCGTGTCCATTTCGTAACTAGCAAGGAAACCACAGGTGGACCGAGATGAAGTGAATGAAGCACGTTTCTTCCCGTTTTCCGTTTCACCCTTCGCGTGCCAAGATTGTTCGACGTGCCTCGAAAGATAAACGGCAATCGCAACAGTGTCACGAAACATTTGTTTCCCGCGCGACGCGAATTACGTTAGATTACTTAAACCATCCGTTTACTCGTTGCCGGATTTAGCTCTGGCTAATAGTACCAGAAGTATGCAAGGCTGAAGACTTCCGCCTCCGCCACGCGCTTAAAGGCACGAGTAATTAAATTAAACGTAGCGTATTCTGGGGAGCTTCCGATCTTCCAACAGACTCAATTGCTTTCCATTAATTTCCCTGCTGCGTCAACTCGAAATCAAAACGACATTTCCGTTTCATCGTTTGCAATACTACCAGAAATTCTATAACGTGACAAAATCATTTACGCAGCGATAAAAATATCGTATACTTTTAATTCCCGTCGCAAGATGTTTGTCGTGACACGACTGGAATCAAAAAAACGAGCAAACTTTCGAGCAGCGTCAGCAGAAGAGACAGCGAGGCGCTAAAATTGTCTGGTCGCGTGTTGTCTAGGCAAAGTTAGTTCTTTTTACAAGCAGCAGTAAACGACTTCTCCGTACACAATTGATTAGTCGGTTGAGAGGTTTAATTGGACCCAAGTGCCGCGACTAGCGCAAGGACACGCAGACTCGTGTAGTTGTACCAACTAAAATATTTTTCTGACCGAAACATCGCGCGTTTGTGATACAGGGTCGATTGATGTAAGAAAGGACTTTTGGTCTTTCTGAAAAAAAAAAAAAAAAAAACACGAGTGGCGTGAAACGTATCCAATTTTTATATTTTAAATAAAAGCACGCGCGATCACACCTTATCTGGAATCTGTTTGCAGGCTATTCCATTCCAATGTAACAGAACAAAATTTCAGTGTCTTTTGCGGAAAAGTCATCGAATCGTGAGTGTTTTTTAGCTTGTATGGCAGAAGAGACGACACAGTAATCGCCTAATTAAGCTACCCTTATCTGGGAATGTAAACGAGCGATCGAAACGATCGCGGGTGAATTCGTTGTTTAACGTTGCAATGTCAACAATACGGCGGCATTTTTCGAGCATACAACACATTCGGTTTGCATTTCAAAGTGACTCATCGTTAAGTATAAGCGGGAATTGCAATCAGGCGGATGTTTCATTCGGAGTGCGAACACACCATTTACAGATGTATTAGTGTGAAGAGCGATTTGTTGTTTTTGGTACATTTGTTAGCCCTGGGAGAAGTTCTTGATATATATAGTAATTAAAAAATGAAGTAGAAGATGGGGGGAGAGTATCGTTAATAAAGAACTAATTTTCTTAGAAGAAAATAAAATGCGTGCAATGGAGGGTTTTAAAGAGTGCCTCCATTGTTATGATCTAGGGATTAGCAGCATCCCTAGGTAAACTTAGTCGAATAACGCGGTAAATCAAATTATCGGTTGCGTCACGGCGTCGACGCCTCCCTCGTCACAGCGTCGCATTCCGTGGCCCAAATCGACGACGTTTATTCCGGTTCCCAAGGAAATTCGGCCCCGCGAATGTCGAAATTTCGTCCCGCGTTCTTATTTAAATATTTGCGCGACGCGAACCTTCGCGCAGACTCTCCTGGATATTTGTTGCCGTTTCCAATGTTTCTCAACCTCTGCGTCGCGTTTCATCTTCGTTTCCTGGAACTACTTATGCTTCTGGCATCGTTGCAAATCAAACTTTCGATGCGTTTTATTACCAAATTTCAACCCGGCTATCATCGTCCGAATTTCGTCTAGAAATTGATACGTTACCGCGACGCCGCGACGGCGACGCTATCCCGCGATTCTGCAATGTGTACACGACTTTAAAGAACCCGCGACGGATATATAAATGTCGCACGATATGCGGCACGATGTTCTTAGGCGATCGTTTGCCGTCGCGGATCGCACGCGTCTAAGACGTCGTGCACACGTGGTCGTCGATTATAGTTGGAGGATCGCAAAGGGAACGGAAACTGTGCAACAAAGGCAAGGAGCATCGATGACCAGCAGAAATTTGGAGAAAATGCTCAGGCTCGCCACCTTGTCGAGGGTCCGTCTTTCACGGTATTGAATAATTTAAACGCGATCGGGTTTGTCACGTTGATTGCTATTCAGATTGGGAGATACTAATTGCTATAGAGCCACGAGATCTATAGCGCTTGAATTTTCAAAACTGTGGTTGGATGGAGTACCGTGAGTATCGTATGGTGCTTTAATCGCGTCTAATTTCGAGCAGAGTTTGTAGACTATATTGTTAAATATTTCCTCAACTATTTGGCAGCTTTCGCACGTAGCAGTGACGGGTCAGATACTCGCAGCCCTCTATCCAACTACGAACATTCATCAAAATCCGAGCATTACAGTACCGTTGGGTCCCTTGTTAGTCTCTTCTGAGAAGGTATCGAGTAACGATTTAAGTACAGCGTGGAACAAACAGGAACGAGTTCAGTGTCTTTAGAGAACTGTACTAATTTTTCGTGTTTCGAGTTCTGTGGGAGTGTGTAGGTATCCCTAGGATACTTGAAAGGATAGACGTTAGCTTTTGTTTGACTGTAGACCTTTGTCTCGCCATTCTAATGTAGAAGCTTCAACCTTCCAATGAATTTGAACGAGGAAATCAATCGATAGAAATTTGGAAAACTGAAGTTTCAAGCTTTCAAATTCCTCTTTCCTTTACAACATTCGCCTAATTTTACCGAGCGATACCAATTTCAAATCAGTCAGAATTCGTAATCGCACTATCCCTTTCTACTTTTGCTAGAAATATTGATATCAGCGAGTGACGGAGCATAACTATCCGCGCGCTCGTCTAGCAATTATTGTCCCCGATTGTCGTCACAAGCTCGTCGAGGAAAGAATGCCATGCGGAAGGCCAAAGACGATCGTATCAAGATCACGACTCATCATTTTCGCATCAGCATCGAGGAGGAGGAAGAGGAGAACGAGGAGAACGAGGGAAACAAAGAGACAAAGAACCTAACAGCCGTAGAGTCGGCGGGGACGATCTCAGCTTCGACTGAGAGAAGAATTTCTATCACTATAGAGGCCGAATCTGATATACTGATAACTCCTGGCCAAGATTCGGAAGGAACGAATCTCCCTGGTAATCTTGAACCAGTGGAAAATCAAACACGGGACTGCGGAGATGCCGAGGGAAATGGAGAACGTAAGACTTTGGAAGAGAACTCTGCAGGAAGCACAGAAGTCCAAAAGAAGCTCTGCATCGAGTCAAGAGAGTCTTCCGAGCAAAGCCAGGACAATGGACTACCGCAGAAAAATGGAAATAATGGCGAAGCTTGGAGTTGTTATGGATGTCGAAAAGGCAGCGAGCCAGAAGTCAAGGAAATTGGTGAAATCGAAGCGTCAGGACTTCCAGACGACTCGGAGAGACACGAGGGAACGGAGAAGAAAACGAAAGGTGACCAACTCGAGGGCCAAGCGTGTACTTGCGATGAAAATCCGACGGTAATTACTGGAAATGCGGGCTTAACGACGTCGATGACGAACGTGGAGCAGAATTTGGCTGCATTCCACGTGAACTTCGGAGTCCTCTGTTCCACGAAGTATTCAGTCAGCGCTGTCGCGAACGAAAACAGAAATTCGATTAAGAAGTTAGACCGTGGGCCAAGCTCGGGTGTCGTTCCTTTGACTGAAGCTTCAAATCGTGGAGCAGATGGCATGGACGTTAACGATGAAATCCCTAAATCGTTAGACTCGACTGGTACAGACGAATCCAAGAAGGATTTACGAAGCACGCTTCAAATGAACCTACTCGATTTGCCTAGGATACCTCATTTAGAAGCCAGCAGCAAAGAAATGCCCGGTGATAGCCAGAAATCATGTGTGAGAATTGATGTCGAAACCCTGAAAGAGGTCGAAGAGGCAATAGGAGAAGGAACGCTGCCTTTTAATACCTTAGGAGATGTCCAGAATAAACCAACTCCTCGATTATCAGCTTCCCCATTGCTCCTCAGGCGATTCTTTAAAGCCTCGAATAGTTTATCCCAACAATCTCCCAGTTTGGACAGACAATCTCCAAGCCTGTCCAGACAATCTTCCTCCATCGAGAGATCCGTGAAGATAAACATCGAAAGTCCCAAAGGAGTCGAAGAGGCTACGTCGAGGAGAAGATTGACTTTGCCCATGGCGAACGTTGATCAGATCTCGCAAGAGGGACTCAAGACACCCACTTACGAGGACGTGTTATCAGGAACGACGGTGAATCCCATCAGACGATCCAGCATCGCGAGTGCCGCGATCTGCTCCAGTTTGGCCACGAGTTTGGTCAGCGCTTGTCCAGGTATTCCCAACTGCTTGCTGCCTTCAAACGACGAACACTCAACGGTTAACGAGAACTGTGGAAAAGGTGGACTCAAACTGAAATTGCCCTTCCTCCGTCTTCACATACCCGAACACCAGTCGTCCACCGGTTGGAACGACGAGGACGATCGCGAGGATCATCATTCCTATTACCACCACCACCACCATCACCATCACCATCATCACGCGTTCCCGTATTTTCATGTACCCACCATCACCTTCACCGCGTCAGCTGCTGATGGCGAAACAGGGCGGAAGTTCAACTTTGGAATACGCAAACACTCGCAGACGGTTAGTCGCCACGTTGAGTGTCCTTCGATAAAGGGTTGCCAACTACCCTCTTTTGGAAAGGACGATCCCTCTCGTTTCCTTGGCACATTTACACTTGGTAAATGTCCTTTTCCATACTTGACGCAGTTGGCAACTCTATCTCGACCCGTTCCAGCAGCTTCCCTTTTAACAATGCGTTTGTTGGTGTGTTTGTTGGTTGTTATTAATCGATTGGGCGTTGATCCATAACGAAGAGCAGTTAAGAGTGAGCATTAACACGTGATTCCCACCTTTAAGAGATGTTGTAACAAAAATTTCTCCACTAATTCTTTTCAGAAAAGAAATATGTACATTTATAGTCGATGTCGATGTTTTTAAACGTTGGGTTTAACCAGATATGGTCTCCAATCGAGTCAGACGTCTCCCGTCGGTTCTTACTCGAGACTTTCGAGGCGCAAGTTTCCGATGAAATACGGTTTAACGAGTCGCAATAAATTATTGCTCGGAGATAAGTGCCCGAGGTAACTTACGTCGACGTTCACTTGAAACGTTCAATTCTTACTAAGATACTTCCAACAATGTCACGGACGAATTCATTAATCATCGTTCCTGGCAATGATTCTATTTACCTTTGAATAGATAAGTAGTCCGTTGTATCATAAGATTCTCATTGATTCAATCATCGTCGCTCTATTCGTTCCAAGCGCGGTAACGACCAATTTTCCTATTTTCCTATTCTCTGTACGGAAGAAGTTAGTATTAAAGAACATCTACATAGACATCGTGGAGCGACAATGTAGAGTTGTTAATAATACAGAACGCGTATACTATGTATTTAAAAAGCTCGGCGTTGTTAGCTAGTTCCTATTTTCTAATAGTCGAGACTATGCGCACCTTCGTCTGTTGTACTTTCGCAACGGCGAGCAGTCGCACATAGTTTAATTGTTTGTTCCTCGTTCTTTGTTTTGTAGCTTGACTTAGATAAAAGATAAAGAACTTAACGGTGCCGCGAAACGATTATTAAAACGTTATCCTACCGGCAGATAAGTGACAATTACCTCCAGGTAGATAAAACTAAATCGTTAGCTAAAAGTAAGTCTGCGAGACACTTTTACAAGTTCGACACATTTGCTGTCAGACGACCGGATAGTCGTCGAACTCAGCGATGAACTTATCCAGCTGTTGCGCATTAAACGTTGAAATTTTCTTAGAAACTGTCGATGTTGCAAAAGCGCTCGAATAGCATCCAAGGTTTCTCGATATCCTGCTGCCGCCATTTACCTTTCATTCAGCGTTTCCGTCGGTACCGATTAATACCTTATCGTCGACCTAGATTCCATTGTGTCCCTTTAAATCCGTACAGGGCTCTCCGTGCTTCCATTACCGAGAAAAATTATAAATACTATTTCCAGACACGCGGTACACGTGTTTTCGCGTTAGTGGTACACCGATCGATCGATTCTCGATTTGAAACTCTTCTTTTAATCGGCTGACCTCGTTGCAAAGCTTGGAATTAACCGTTCGGAATCAAGTACGCGGAATTTTCTCCACGACGCACAAAACGAAGAAACCGTACAGGGATAATTTAGATGTTGGAAGAAATCGTGACATTTAAAAAGCAGCAATTTCGCTCGACCTTCGACTACTATCATCTTTCCCATTTCTTCTTTGTATGATGTACTTAACGACGAGCAATCTTGTACAAGGTGATTGTGGTTGTTGATGGAAATGCGTCTAAATTGGAAAAACTGTGAAGAATAAGACTGATCTATAAAAAAATGTATCATTCAACATCTGGAACGCTTAACAAACTTGGTTTAGTAAACAACGAATCAAGAAACAGCCAGGTTTATTACGAAGGATGTTTTTACCCACTAATCCGTCGGATAATAAATTCATTAATTATGTCAAACAAAATATTCGACGCCCGTTTAAACGGCTCTGCAACGTAATCCAGTTTATGTACGTGGCGAATTATGTTATGTGTTTTCGCAATCTGCGCCTCTGCGCAGCAATTAATTCGCTTCAGCAGTTTTTGATTGAAGAGCAGCGACGTCTCGCTCGCCGATACGACGCGCAAATACCATTTCGTTTTCTCTTTCGTTTCGCAGACCTTGCACCGGACGGACTCGATGGTATCGCTCTGCTACCGATCTCTCGCCAGCTATATCACAGATGACAACCTCGCTGGTCTCCAGAACTTCCTCGAAAGCAAAAGAGTCCTGGTCGATGATCGAGACGAGGTATCAAAAATATAACAAAGTGAATTTATTTTTTCTTCGTTTAATCTTCCAATTTACTGATTTTCGTCGTTCACGCGGTAGAATGGTAGCACAGCCCTCATCCTCGCATCAACTAAGGGGAAGATACACTTCGTACGGGAGCTCATCAATCATGGAGCAGATGTCAACGCTGAAGACGGGGTTAGTCACCGTATCTTTTGGATTAAAGATCTATTTTCAACTGGTACGATCAATTTCACTTTCAGGACAACTGGACAGCGTTGCTTTGCGCTGCCAAGGAAGGCCACACCGACGTCTGCCTCGAATTACTCGAACATGGCGCTGAGTTGGAACACAGAGACATGGTACATCGCATTCTCTGGCGTTTTTCACCCTCTATCCATCCACAATACCTCTACCAAGACTATTTGACTATTAGACTATTTTCTAAACTCTGGCAACTTGACCTGGCCCGAAGAAAAAAGCCTCTTCTTCCTCTTCGTATTCATTTCTTTACGTTTCGAATCGAACAAAATTACGCTTACGAAGTTGTTCAGAAGTCAAAGGGAGCACCGCAAATAGAAGCTAAGAGGAATGTTCTATTTTTAGGGAGGGTGGACGGCACTTATGTGGGCGACGTACAAGGGTAGGTCGCCGACGGTGACGATGCTGCTAGCGCGAGGAGCTGACGTCAATGCACATGGAAATTTTCATATACCCTCCTTGTTATGGGCCGCGGGCAGGGGTTACCCTGACATTGTTAAAGATCTCATTGCTCATGGTGCTAAGGTTAACGTTGGCGATAAGGTAACGTGGTTTTATTCAAGTTCAAGTACACAGAGTATGCTTGAACTGATTAAAATGAATCGTCGGGGAAACTGAATACAGCTGAAGTTGTATTAAAACTCGTTGAACGTGATTTTTTCAACTTCTAGTATGGCACTACAGCGTTGGTGTGGGCGTCGCGTAAAGGAAATGTAGAAATTGTAGATACTTTCTTAAAAGCTGGTGCTAATGTTGACACTGCTGGAATGGTAAGATGTACATTGGAATTATTGTATAAGATGATTCATCCGGTGATCGTTGGATCGTTAACGAAACATCTTACAGTATTCGTGGACCGCTCTTCTCGTGGCTACCCTTGGTAATCACGTGGACGTCGTGCTGCTACTTTTGGAGTACAAACCAAACGTGAACGCTTTGGATAAGGATGGATGCACGGCTCTAGCGATAGCATGTCGAGAAGGACATCACGAGATAGCAAACGCGCTTTTAAACGCTGGTGCTTACGTAAACATACAGGACAGAGCTGGAGATACGAACTTAATTCATGCTGTAAAAGGCGGTCATAGAGGAGTGGTTGAATCTCTTTTAAAGAAGTATGCCGACGTCGACATCGCCGGAAAGGTGACAAAATTGATACTAAATTATCATCCCAGACAGAAGACAGGATACATACCGATTAATATCTTGACAATGGTTCCGATTAGAACCTAAATGTCTCTTTTGTGTACCGAACCTACTTTTTTCCCATTGATTTCAAGCTTGGACTATGATTATATTTGTTTAAAGAAGTTCCAAGAGCTAGCTAACCAGGCACATTTTATTGAAATATTCTAGGATAAGAAAACCGCAACTTACATAGCAGTAGAAAAAGGCAATATACCGATATTAAAATTGTTACTAAACGCTAACCCAGACTTGGAGATCGCGACGAAAGACGGCGACACACCGCTACTGCGGGCAGTTAGGTCGCGCAACGCTGAAATCGTGCAATTACTGCTGGACAAGAAAGCCAAGGTCTCTGCAACCGACAAAAAGGGCGACACGGTGCTTCATATAGCTATGAGAGCAAGATCGAAAGCTATCGTCGAAATACTATTGAGAAATCCGAAAAATAGTCAGCTACTTTACCGTCCAAATAGGCAAGGCGAAACCCCGTACAACATTGACATTAATCATCCGAAAACCATTCTCGGGCAAATATTTGGAGCGCGTAAGTTGTTTGCGTCTTACTTGCAAAGAATTTAGTAATTCGACCTAGTTTGGAAATTAGGTTCGTTTAATCGTTAACTGCCTAATTCTTTCAGGACGCCTTAATACCAACGAAGACAATGAAAATATGCTTGGTTACGACTTGTACAGTAGCGCTTTGGCGGATATTCTCAGCGAACCATCCCTTTCGACACCTATAACCGTTGGTCTTTATGCAAAGTGGGGCTCTGGAAAGTCTTTCTTGTTAAACAAGTTGAGAGGTAATAACTTAATCGCTGAAACAGACGGATCACGATTCGTTCGAGAAATTTCTTACATCCGTACCAATTATTTCAGAGGAAATGAAAAACTTCGCTCGTCAGTGGATAGATCCTGTATTCCAATTCTCTTTCTTACTTTTCGTAGTAATATCTCACGTATCGTTATTAGCGGGTATCACCATAGGTCTTGCTCTACAGTCGTGCATCGTTGGTCTCGTCTTTGGTATATGTCTTATTTTCATTATGTACGCTTTTTTGATACTTATCTGGTATGCTAACAAAAGGTAAGGGAACAAACTAGAGGATATATCTTACGTGTTTTTATATTTTATGACCCTCTAACGTTTACATTGTAGATACGATTGGTATTGGCCGTACAATTTTACCGTTGCTCTGACTACAAAATTAAATTCGTTAAAGCTATTGCTGCAAGTGATTTTTTGTCATCCACCCGGTGGTCAAGTTCACGATAGCGTGACTGTTCAGCCAATCAAATTTTACTTTACCGATCAAACTCGAGTGGGCACAACCGCCGCTGGAGAAAACGCAGTAGTACAAATGGTGGGATCACTTTACGATTCCATCGAAAACGATTTTGGTTCTCTGTCCACGAGATTGTACAGAGCGTTCCGACCAAAGCCTGATAAATCCACCACAACCTGGAAGTGGAGACACCTTTGTTGTCTACCGTACATAGTCATATTCGAGTTCTGCTTTTGCAGTTTACTCGTTGGCATTTCTGTGCTTACCGTCTATCTAATCGACATCTCTAGCAACGAGTGAGTACTCCATAACGATAAAGTGGTCGACCCCTTCTACAATGAATATATAACGTTACTTACCGATTATTGCAGGAAAACAATAGAGGAAGGTGCGGCACACATAATTATGATAACTGTTGCCTTAATACTAGCTGTCAGTGTAATAGCAAATTTATACACGTGGAGTCGGACTTTGCAAGCGCTTGTCTTCTCTCAAAGGCGACACCTTCAACGCAGCATCTCCAAATTGGAGACTTTAAAAAGCGAGGGGTTCATACAAACGCTAAGAAGCGAAGTCGGTTTAATGACGGATATGGTACGCAAACTTATATACTTTTATCGCTGTCATTTTTCTACCTAATGAGAAAGTTTTTTTTTTCCTTTTTATATAAAAACAGGTGAAATGTTTAGATAGTTTCATGGCTCAACAAAGTAGATTAGTAGTAATCGTGGATGGTCTGGATAGCTGCGAACAAGACAAAGTGTTACTAGTTTTAGATGCTATACAAGCACTATTTAGCGATAATGGTTATCCGTTTGTTGTAATACTAGCGATTGATCCGCATATCATTGCTAAGGTACCGTAACATACATTACAGTTTTTTTTTTTTTCTATGTAGTGTAAAATTAATATGTTTACTGTGACGTTCCAATTGACAGGCAGTGGAAGTCAATAGTAGAAGGTTATTCACAGAGTCGAATATCGGAGGGCACGATTACTTGCGCAATATGGTACATCTTCCATTTTATTTGCAAAATAGTGGTTTACGGAAGGTGAAGGTTGCTCAACAAACTGCCCAACATAGCAGAAAAACCGCGTGGACTGAAGCCGAGGAGAGTGTTAATTACACTGCTACTAGTACAATGCATCATTCTGTTTCTAATAGGAGGCTCAGTACAGAGTCTGGTATAATGAACAGTAACGAAAAACTGAAACCGCAAAGTAGAAAGGGTAGTAGGAAATTGCGATTAAGCGAGTCGATAGCCAGCAGCATTGGTAGCAATTTAAATCGACTAGGCGGTGCGCAGGACCTTAATAAAATGCTTCTCACCGATGACTACTTTAGCGACGTAAACCCACGTAGCATGAGGAGATTAATGAACGTTGTTTATGTCACTGGTAATGCAGAAATAACTAGTTCCCGGAACGTTTAATTCAGCATCTGTCACGTTCGCATTCGTTACATTGTCTATTTATTTTAGGGAGGTTGTTAAAAGCATTCCAAATTGATTTTAATTGGTACCACTTAGCCAGTTGGATCAATATCACCGAACAATGGCCGTTCAGAACATCTTGGTTGATTCTCCATTACGATATGTATGAAGAGAGTTTAGATGATACCATGTCGTTAAAGAGTCTTTACGATAAGTATGTTTCTCCTACAAGTGTCGTGTGTCTTTTACGTCGTCTACGTGTATTTTATGTTGCGGTATTTGAATCATCAGGATACGCCCCCAAATACCAGTACTTAAAGAAGTCCAGCCTCTTTTAGAGATGGATAGAGACGAACGCAAGTTGGACATTTTCCTGACTTTCCATCGTTCCAGCTTACTCATTAGCGATATGAAGATATTTTTGCCGTTTACGATTAATCTCGATCCTTACATTAAAAAGAAAATCAAAGAAGAGCAACAAAGTATAGAAGAAGAAGCAGGACTCGTGCCGTATAAACAGTACAGCCCTTGGACTATGCACGGTGGTGGCCAGGATCAATGGAATACGAGTAAAACTGCTTCAACGAATCGCACCATGAAATTAACCAAAATACCGAGTTTGCAAGGATACGCACCACCAGTGCCATCGACTGCGTCATGGTACATGCCACCTTCGTTCGATTGGCAAACTCCACCTTGGGTACAAGCTCCTCCTATGGAACCCACGATTAAACCTCTTTCCGCAACTACAACTCTACCGGTACGATATGCATATAACCATCATAGAATCAAATATGATTTCAGTAGCACTCGACTATATTTCGTTTTTTCTTTTTAGTCCGAGATTTTGGAGATGAGACTTTCGTCTCTATCGGTGAACGGTGTTTGCGATCTGATCGATAGAATCGAAAGTTTAAATCACAATCAAGCACCACAGTACAAAAATGTTATCAAGGAAAATAATATTAATGGCAGAGTCTTGCTACACTGTGACATACAAGAGTTAAAAAAGGTTAGGTTAGGTTAAATTTTCTTTCATGCTCAAATGTGATTTTCTTTTAACGATAATCTGCAAACAGGTCCTCAAAATGGCTTTTGGAGATTGGGAACTGTTCCGTATGGTGATTGCGTCGCTTAGAGAATTAGAACTGTCGTCGTTTACCACGCACGAAGAAGGCCCCCGCAGCGTGCGATTCACAGTAGGGTCGGAACAAATTCAACGGAAAGGTACACATAATTCCGTATACATAAGATAAACGTATATATGTTTGCGTTAAACACAAACGTCTATTACTCTATTTTAGACCTTCCCTTACAAAGCAATTCCGTTCGCGTGCCTGTGCTGGCTGAAAAAGAAAAGGGAATATCGAGAACCGACGGTCCTCCTAGACGAGAACAAACTAAACAGTCCATTATGGAGAAACAAGTAAGCTGTCTTAAAACATATCACTAAAACACGTTTATAGTTTTATTGTACCATGTAGATTAATAAAGTATGATTCTCGTTACACTCGCGCTCGGTTTTAGTTCCAGGTAAGCAAAATTACGTAATGTTTGTCGGCTTCTTAGCGCAGAGAATATACCGAATGAAATCGAGAAAATTAGCGTTAAGATACTTTGTATGCATCAAAAACGAGTAACGGGTTCATATTTCAGGTAACCTTGGAAGAACAAATGATTTGCGGAGCACTGCAGACTTTAAACGAAGAAGCTTGCGAAGATGTATTAGACGTACCATCTCCGGCAGTGGTACCAACAGACTCACTTTCAGGTGAGCCCTCTTCTCTACCACTTACACTGCCTTTGGTTATAGTTCAAGAACCACCGCAGCCAGAGCAAAACTGTGACATCGTATACGAGTACAGTACAAATCTTTAACGATCTGAATCGAAGAAGACAATAAACTCGATCGTGTATCATGCGTGTACTGCATCAAAACGACTACATCATCCTATTTGAAGATGGTTCAATATACTCATCACTCGTAGTTTCGATTCACGAAAATCTTGTTAATGTATCTAATTGTTTAATGTGTCAATACTTAGATACATCTATAGCAGTATTACCTATAATAGGTCCGCCCGCATAAAGGGGGACCAATAAAAAGTTTAGTTTTTATATTATACACAATGCATACGTGGAAGAGGCTAAAGGAACTATCGTTATTTTCTTTCGAACTTCGTCACTCCGAGTTTCGATTCTCTACGAAAATCTTGTCAATGTATCTGTTTAATATGTCAATACTTAGATACATGCATAACAGTATTACCTATAATAGGTGCACCCGCGTAAAGGGGAATAAATAAAAATTTAGTTTTTGTATTGTACATAATACATACGTGGAAGAGGCTGAAGGAACTACCGTTACTTCCGTCTAAGCCCTGCTTCTACAACGACTGTTTAAAAATGTGCCATTGCGTAGACTGGACCGTTGTAAATAGACAAAGGATATAAAATTAATATCATCTGTTAAATAAATTATATAAACATACGATGCGTGAAATAAATAACGTTATGGCGGTAGTGACTTGAATGTATGCGTTAACATAGCCATAATAAAAGAATCGTCTTAGTTAGATAGTTGAGTAGATAAATGGTATCAGCTTGCGAAAAAAAGCAATTGCGAAACGTTTTTGTATTTCGAAAACAAATAAGGAACATTCGTGCACCTGGCAAAAAGAATTAATCTGTCTCTTAAACGTGTTGTCAATGCTTAATCGCTGGTTGTGTTATTCTACTTTCCTATGTATGATACGTAGAAATATTGTATATTTCCTAGATTCGAAAACCTATTATCTTCCAACAATGAACATTTGTAAAACAGACTGTGATAATTACCTGTTACTATTGTCGGATGTTGTTAAACGAGTATATTTTCATTTTGAGTGTTTACGCTGATAGATCTTGTATACTTAGAAAGATAAGCTTCAACGTGAGAGAGTTTTATATACCAAAGCAAAGAGCTAGTTATATTTTCATCTTAATTAATTGTACTTTCTTTTTTTGTACTGCCTGTACAATTATCGTAAATTAGAGATTGTTCGAACATTATATTATAAATGCGAATGGCAATAAAATTTTGTTTGAAAATTAAAGTGAGGTTATCTTTCTTAACGGCGTAGATCTATAAGCATATCGAACGCATTCTTTCATTTTATATCTTTACTCTAAAACGCGGCTATTCTCGCGGGTAATCCACAAGGGGGTTCCAGCCTCTCTCCCTCCCAAGTCTGTCAGAACTTTGTCAACGCGAATATATGTAGAAGTAAGGAATTATATATTTTTTAAAGTTTGTATTGAATCATTTGCGGTCCAGATTCTCTAATTTCTGTCAAGCCTCATTCGGCATTAAACCGCAAAGGGTCGAAGAAAGTAACAAGAATCCTCGATTTCCAATGCGTCGATCTCACGTCTCACTGAAACTTCATCAAAGATTAGAAGAAAACAGACGGATAACACCGATATTTGTTTCAGGAGTTGGTCCAGCGACACCTCAGGACACGGAATACGTGATTCTTCAGTCCAATCCTCTTCTGCACTGGGTTCCAGTCAACGACGAGCCAGAGACATCAGATGACAGCTCGCTAGAATCCACGGTTCATCTTCAGCGCACGAATTCTCAGCGTAGCATCGCATCTCAACTTAGCACAAGATCGGTCTGCTCGTTTGGACACAAAGGTCCGAGAAAAGACGGGGGCAACGCCAACTCTAGCAGACCTTCTTCTCTGTTCGTGTCTCCGCCACCTTCGCCTAGACCTGCTTTCAGGTCCAAGTCAACAGACGAGAATTACGCGACGAACAACATACCTCTGAAGCCCACTATCTCGACGCCTATCAGAAAACGACGGTCCACGTCAACATTGAACGAGGATATAGCCGTGTCAACGTCAGTTCCAAACTCCAGCTTGGAGAAGTTAACAAAGTTGAAGGACCGTCTAATGGGAACGTTGCCAACTTCGTCTGCACCTGGGGAAAGCGAGGACGAGTCCACGCCGTTGGTTTCCGAATTGTCCACCCCGACTCATTCTCAATCCGACAGCGTGTTCAAACACGATTGCAGCGAGGAAAATAGTAGCTCTATCTCGTCCAATAAAAGTTTACCCCGAGACGGAGAGCGATGCGCTGACGTTGATTATTCCGACACGGTTAGCCTAATGGTGAGGGAACAATCTCTGAATATGCGTTTCCTCTCGCGACAGGACGCAGAAGAGTGGGACAATCCAGAAACACCTGTCTGATATCTTATATTACACAATTGACAACGAGTCTCTTGGTGATACGCAATAATGTGTGATAGGTAGACTGCGGATGTTTATGCAAATCCATATATCAGTAGAGTGAAGTCATAAAATTTTACCCTGTATTTTGCCATATACATACGCTCTTCACATATGCATTCTATACTGTTTATGCGTAAACATTCGCAGCCTGGTGATATGTATACGGGTGAATTGTTACTCTTAAGTAAAACAAAGTATTTAAATCGAGGTTTGTGATAAATTTCCAGAGGTAATAGGTTAAGTTATCGGTTCGATTGTGCTTTGTAAATAGTAAATAGGCGATATTGTCTCCCTTTTAGGAAAACATTCGAAGGTGTTCATGCATCCCCATACAATGAGTTCTGCTGTACGATACATGTCCATAATATTCAAGCAATTCGATACCAAAGTACTTAATGGGAAGTATCGAAAGGTATCAAAGTTTCAGGGTCTTGAGTATCAAGTTTCAATGTAGTTTGATACGAAATGATACTTCGTTATCTGGTATTCGTAGTGCTACCATGAAAGCTCCATCGCTAATTACGAATAATGTAAAGAGTGTAAAGTAACTTGATTGTAAAATACTTGATTTTTGTGGGTATACTGAGCAAATGACATTCCTTGATAATTTTAACGCATTTAACGATGCAAGCGTTATCAGTTCTTTCTTATGCGACTGATATCGAAGCGGAGAGTGTTTCTTTTATTATATTATAAACGTTTGGGTGTCGAGACATTGATTAGTCAATTTGTAAATATGGTTAAAACTGTAACTTGAAAACAAACGAATAAATATTAAAATATTTTAAAACGCTGTTTCATGCCTGGCGTGTCTGATAAACACAGAGGGACTGTTACGAAACTTCAGATGTACGTTGTATAACAGATAAATAAGTAATGTTGATTTATACGTCGCATTGATATCAGAAAGCAAACAAGATATTTGACGTTGGTAAATATAACAGCGACACGAAATTCTCAAACTCGCTGAAAAAAAGATACATAAATATATATGTATGTATATCAAAAAAATTCGCAATACAACTTTTTAATAATACTTTTTTTTATTACAAAGCAAAAATTATACATAACGTATATAACAGTATATGTATATAACACTTTAGGACGGAATACATTAGGGTGTCGGTTAATAATAGCACTGTAAACACAGGTAATAGATATATTAGATTTTCAAATGATATAGTATCGTAGTACTTAACTTATTGCTATTAAATACAATATATTTAAATACATAAACAAACATAAAACAGCGCCCTTCTTCTACTTTCATAAATGCTTGTATATGGAATACAATAAGTACTTCAACAGCCTTTCACGTAATTCGTCGAAACAGACGAGACTTACTTTATATAATTTGAGTTTCGTAATTTGAGAAGGTAAAAAATATTTCGTAGTTCCATTTCAGATTACTGATCATTATTAACACAATACAATAAACTTCGTAGGAATGACTATAAAAATTTTAATACAATAGTCTTCTCATTTTCATTATAATTAAAGGCACTATGGCAAGTATAAAATACTATCTCACAGGTGTTTAAATACTTGTATATTTTACCGTTTAGATTAGACCTAAAATTTATTTAACAATTGTAAACGTACAACTGAACGAAAATTCTGTAAAGAAGGTAATCGTTAAACAGCATTTTAAAAGTCTGCGTACCTTTGATACACTGTTTTTAATAAAAGCACCATACATTAACGTTTAATGTATGCATACATTTCCCATATATACTAACAGAATGTAAAGACACTTGATTTTGTAACAATCAACTATCCTACTCGATAATAAATGCAGAAGATATCTAAGTTTGCATGGCAAAATGATCAGAAATGCTTCGGAATATGAGTAAAATTGCTATTAATAAAAAGCAAACGTAAAATGGAGTAATATTTTTGTATCAAAGAGATATTATTTTTATGATATCGAAGACTACCTCTTTCGCTGGGCAGTATCGTCGTATTTCCATAGGCACTTTAAGTAAATCATTATGCAGTCCAAGGAAGACGAATTTAATAAATACCTTGATTATTCAGCCAGACAAATAATACTTCAGAGTTGCGTTGTAATCACTGTCTTCCTTGTAATAATAGTATGTTTGATCGGAGTTTGATCTGTCGTAGTGGTTTGCAATGGATCAGCCACGAGCCAAGGGCTGATGTCAGAAACAGTCGAATTGTCATCCTACAACACGAAAATAATAGGTACATATCACCGATTAAAAAAATTACATATTGTATAATTTAAAATACCGATATCAACAAATTTGTTTAATTTTAATGTTCGTCGATCAAATACACGATTCGAAATAATTTTATTATACAAATAAAATGTGCGTATATGTACATGGCGCAACTTGCACGAACCAAACAAAGCATTTCTTCAAATTACACGAGTACAGTACAGAAAACATTGTTACAGTAGCTAACTCGCAAGCATGAGCCACACCTTGTGAGTAAGAGTTGTAGTAGTCGTTTGTATCTCTTCGGTTTTCACGACTCTTGCTCCATTTTTCTCTGCCTCTGCTTCGACTTTCTTTTCGACGGTAGATTGCACTTCTTTGAAGGGATTAAGCAGACCCAAGAACGGATTCGAGTCTATGAACGGATTCGTATTCGTTTTCTTCTCCTCCTCTGTTTTTACTTCATCTTCTACATTCTCGGAAACGCTAGTGACATCGCTACTGCTGTCGCTCGTGAACGGATTAAATGGATTCTGGGACTGATTCGAGACTTTAGGATTTAGCTGTGTAGTTTTTTGTTCGATCTGTCCCCAGCTGTCTAAAGAAAAGTGCGTTACAGTCACAGTATCATCCATGGATGGATTCGTCGTTGTTGCTCCACTTACGGAAAGCGTCAGTTTATCTCCACCCTAAATAACGAACAATGCAAGAAAGCAAACAAATCACAACTAAAGCCTAGGAAGCACGAAACAATGGAACAAAATTTCGAATAAAGCTACTTGAGCATAGGTATAACATAAAAACATAAAAGTATAAAATAGTTTAATTAATACTAATCTAAGAAACAAACGGATGTTTATTGCGATGTAGTGTTTGAACATTTATTTCGCCATTTTACGCGGTAATTAGCGAAAATATATTTAAGATAAATAATATATATGTAGTACTATATAACATGGTTTTCTCACCACGGATACGATCGTTGCAGCGTCGGCATGCTGATTGTTTTTAGCGACAACAGCAGGTGCTTCCGTAGAAGTGATCGAAACTAAATTTGAATTTTTGCCCTGTTCGAGGGATTTTGCTTTTAATATATTACACTTCAACGATTCCAACGGAATGGGTGTACGAGGAGGCAATGACGAGGTACCGCCAACTTGGTTATTCGGCACCAATTGCACTTGGTTTGTTATACTCTCGATGGTCAAGCTAGTTTTTACTGGTTCCGATTCCTTTTCGCTGCTGACAACTGTTGTTTGATTTCTAGGTTCCAACGGTTGTTGATCTTTGGCAAGCGATTTCAGCAAGGAATCTACCAAAGGCGAAGATGTTCCATGTATACTGGATTCCGAAGATTTTGTACTACATTGGCTCGACTGACGTTGCAAAGGCTGCTCTTCAGCTGAAAGTAAGTGAAAGTATTTTTTAATATCATAGCATCTAAATGGTTAACAGAATAAAGATATATTCGTTGAACTTACTGGCAGGTGGCGAAGGTTGCGGTTGTTCCACTTGCTGCCTTTGCCGTTCTCTTAAAACGTGACTCTGTCGACGTGCGTATCTCTGACTTGGACGTCGCTCGAACTGCACGGTTCTACGCGCTCGATTCAGTTGAGTCGTTTGGAATTCAGTTTTACCGCTGTAACGAAACCGCGAGCCCATGCGAAAGAAATTTTGTCGCCCACTGGCACCTTTAACGGGTGCTCGTAATCGAAAGAAAGCGTGATGTTCTACAGCGCATTTCCACAGATGCTTGCAAGCCTTCTCGTTAACCAATCTGAAGACGAACGTATGTTCTTGTTCCCCCCTTCCTTCGTCATCCTCCTCTACCACGACTAATGTGAGTTTCTTTTTTTTAAAATCTAGACGACCGATCTTAGGCCAGAAGAACAGGCCTATTTTTTGCGTGCCTTCGAAGACCAAGATTCCAGTTGGAGTTAAACCTAAGGAATACTCGCAGGCGTCTTTCCCGAGGACGGTGTGCATGTCTACGCCATACATATCCAACCATTTCGCTTTACTGAGATAAGCTGATTCAGCTTGCGCGGGACTAAGACCAGAGCACTTTGTATACTCTTCCAGTATTTCGAGTTCCATTTGCTCCGTTTGACCCGGTACAAATCGAAACTCCGACACCGTTACCGCGCTATGTATGGCAGGGTCATAGTCACCCAGTTCAGCTGAAAATATAAGTGAGTTCATTTTAAAATGTATGCTGAGATGTTTCACTTTTCTTGATTTGGGTATTCAGTTTGGAATGCTTACATTGAAGAGCTAACGCAGCCAACTGAACTGCAACTTGATGGGGGCAGTGAAGCTTTCCTTCCAAAACATCTTGCTTCAATTGCAAGAAGAACTGATATCGGGTTAGTTCCTCACGCAATGTGTTAGGCTCGGATGAATAAAACTTTACTTTCAGTCGTAAAGTGTATGGGGGCCCAACTATGCAGAAGAGTATGATTTTGTGTGTTAATCGCTATTTCAGAAAATGGAATGTGGAAGCATACATATTAGATTAAGTCATACTTTTCACTTGTTTCTTGATAGGCTTTGTAGGATCCAACCAGTGTTGAACATTATTGCTGTCTGTATACTGCAATCCAAAATAATCTTTCTCTATTAAGTCTAAACTATAAAATACTTGTTCGTATAAGTCACTAGCCAATGCCTTTTTCTGCAACAGAAAAACATTAAAGTGTATACAAATTTGTACCAAAATATTGGAGCACATAATAATTAGTAATATTGTGTCTATGAAATAATTGAGTATACTCTGAGAGCATAGATTAATATCAAATATTGTTAACGGAGTTCAAATGTTTCTAGACAATATTTTTATGCAGAACTCGAACGATATATAACAAAAGATTATTGCTTAACAAACTGTCGTACTTACCGATAATTCTATAGGCAGATCCGTCCCGTCGAGCAAAACGACCCTGCATTGAACAACATTCTTGTTGCTGAGCAATCGCTGGTTTTTAATCTGGGACGACGCGGTTTGCCCGCTGACACTACGCGCCCTACGTCGTGATAGGAACCTTAACATTTTATTTGACATACGTTCGAAGTTTCTCACTGCTTGGCACAAGTGATATTCCGAGCCGTATCGCTACATTCCTCGTCGCGGAAATATCATTTTCGCGGTACGTTACCGTGAAACGTGAAATACGCCCACCTGCGCGTTGGGTACATGCATAAACACACGCGTACAACGAACGAACGGCTCATTAAATATACATATTAAACGGATTACGGAAAATATCTACATCGTATTCGTTTGTCGATCGACTAGCCATAACAAACCACGCGGCTCGTACGCACCCAGAAAAGATATATGTACATTTCGATTACGGTAAACTCACGAATATTTTTTCCGTTCCAAACATTTTTCCCAACGCGTTAAAGCCAACGAAACTGCATCGCCACCTAGCAGTCAAGAATTTGAAACATTGCTTGTATCCAGGTTTAATTTTTGTATTTATTAAATGTATTTATGCCAGGTTTGATGGGAAAAAGGAATGAATGTTTGTATGTACTAAGAATAATCTTTATTAAATCGAACATGTAAAAGCATTTCATCGAACGAAATGGTGATCAACGATGATCGCGTCGTTTACAACATAACTGGAACAATTGAATGGAAATGACTATTTACATATTTTCAGATGGTTTACATTATAAAATACAATTGTAAAATGATCAAACCTAATAAATAAATTTGTATATTAACTATTTAAATACATTCATGTATTTAGTACGTTAGTCATTCCTGTAAAAGTATATTGCATAGTATAAATTAATTTAAGTATGTCTTCCCTCCAATGTTGTAAATAATAATAATAATATTAAATGTAACAAACTCTCGAATAAAAATATAGTACATTATTTATTTTGATCGAACAAAGAGTACCTTTATTCTCTCTCTCTCTCTCTGTACGAGTGATAAAAGTAAGGTTACGTTTCGTATAGAGGTTATAAACACATGTACTTCCCATTAATATTTTCGACATAATATGAATAAATTACTCTTCGCATCAATAAAAGACGTAAGTCAAAAAATACATAATGTCGAGGTGCGACCTTCCGATATCGCAAAAGCAGCTGTCAAATTGACAACGGTTATTAAACCATTAAATGCCTATATCACTGTAACTGATGAAACAGCAAAGAAGCAGGCCGAGAATTCAGATTCGAGGCAGAAAAATGATGCATTATTGGGAAAACTCGATGGAATTCCCATTGCAGTTAAAGATAATTATTGCACGAATGGTCACTTGACGACCTGTGCATCGAAAATGCTTTCGAATTTTATTCCAATATACAATGCAACTGTATACCAACGTTTAGCAGATTCCGGAGCAGTTTTAATTGGCAAAACTAATCTCGATGAATTCGCTATGGGTTCTGGAACTATTGATTCGTATTATGGTCCAACAAAGAACCTGTGGAAATCAGATGTAATAAACAAATATTACTCTTGCAAAGAGGAATGCACAAAGGATTCTCCTAATGACAATTCATGGCATATAGCAGGTATAATTTATTCAATTATTTTGTTGAATTGTTTGTACATCAGTATTGTGTATACATATGCATTTTAGGTGGTAGCAGTGGTGGTTCTGCTGTAGCTGTTGCTACTGGAACTTGTTATGCTGCATTAGGTTCAGATACTGGTGGTTCCACTAGAAATCCAGCATCATACTGTGGTCTTGTTGGATTAAAACCCACTTATGGGCTAGTGTCACGCTATGGGCTTATTCCACTCGTAAATTCTATGGATGTTCCTGGCATTCTTGCAAGATATGTGGATGATGCAGTGTTTGTTTTGAACGCTATAGCTGGTCCTGATGAAGCTGATTCTACATCCACACGAAATGAATATGTCCCAATTAATTTACCCAGCACCATAGATGTTAGTAATCTGAGAATTGGGATACCAAAAGAGTATAAACTAAAAAATATAAATCCTGATGTTCAGGAATGTTGGGATGAAGTTTCTCAGTATTTGAGAGAAGCTGGGGCATCAGTTTCTACAGTATCAATGCCACATACCAGTTACTCTATATCTTGTTATTCAATCCTGAATCGTTGCGATGTTGCTAGTAATTTAGCTTGTTACGACGGTATGGAATACGGTTATAGAGCAGACGAGTGGAGTTCCGCGCTCGAACTTTATAAAAGGACTAGAACAGAAGGATTTGGTAACGTGGTTAAGGAGCGCATCTTAGTTGGAAATTATTTTTTATTAGAAGAAAATTACGAAGAATATTATGTAAAAGCAATGAAGATGAGACGACTAATCTCTAATGACTTCGAATCGGTATGGAACGATAACATTGACCTTCTGCTTACTCCTACAACATTAACAGATGCACCAGACTACAATGGATTCGTTGCATTAGATAATCAGACTCAGTGTTTAATTCAAGATTATTGTACACAGCCTGCGAATATGGCAGGCATACCAGCAATTAACCTGCCAATTAAACTTTCCCGAAATGGTTTACCTTTGTCTTTGCAACTTATGGCACCACCTTTCCATGAAAAAAAACTTCTTAGCATAGCGAAGTGGATAGAACAAATAGTTAAGTTTCCTAGACTAGAATTGACAGATCTATCTCTGCTCGAATAAAATGTTTGTGTACGAACGTTGGTTTATTTATAACATTATCATTTTGTCACATAATGAAGTAAAATATCTTTCATAATCTTGTTTAATTATTTAATGTTCCCTCCCGCCAATGGTCAAAATCGTGGCAAGCGACGCTATAACCACCTAGCGGTGAGAAGGTGGAACTAAAATTATCGACATTACAGAAAAAGTAAAAAAATACTTATATAATCTATTTTATTCCGTTTAATATTAAACTTGTAGTCATAAAACAAACACTGGGAGATTAAAATTCATTAGTAGAAGTTACAATAAGCAAATAATTAAAATGCCGGTAATTGATTGACAGTGGCGCCATTGGTGGCACAACGCCTAAGTTTGTTCTCGAATAGTTCCTGTT